CAGGCACTGGGATCTCATCAGGTAGATAGACACAAGCAGGGTCAGGCACTGGGATCTCATCAGGTTAATAGACTCAGACAGAGCCAGCCACTGAGATCTCATCAGGCCTAACCACTTGCTGCTTAAAAATATACTTCCTCATGTTAGCTCTTCCTCATTTTGGAAGATGTCATAAATCAATGAGTTGAGATAAGGCAAGAGAGAAAGTTAAATTTGCTGATGACACAAAGATGATTAGAAACGTAAGTTGTAGAAAGAGCATCATGAAGCTATGACAGGATATATAAAAAGGTAAGTAAGGATGACAAAGATCTAGCAAATGAAATACAATGGGAAATACAGTGGGAAAATGTGAAATTGTCCATTTTGGCATGAAGAATTAGAAGGAAGGTGTCTTCATGATGACAGATGCAGAGCTCTGTGATATTAAGAGATCTGAGTGTCCTAACACATAAATTGCAAATGGTTAGTATGCAGGCAAAGGAAATAATTAGGAAATCTAGTAGAATGTTCTCATTGCATGGGTAATTCAGGATGTGCAGGTGCCGGTGTTGGACTTGGGTGGACAAGGTCAGAAATCACACAACACCAGGTTATAGTCCAACCGGTTTATTTGAAAACACAAGCTTTCGGAGTCTTACTCCTTCTTCAGATGTTAATGAGAGAAGTAGTGTCAGACACAGAATTTATAAGTAAGAGATCAAAGGGTCATACCGCTGATGAGGATGTACTAGACAAAACCTAAGATGCTGTTAAGTAAAGATTTTTATTTTTGAATGAAAATTGGAAGACAATAGAGGTCTGGGCCCAGAGTGCAGAGAGTTTACCATGTTATGTTTTGGAACTCAACATGTGCTGACTGTGTATGAATGTGCGTGTGTTTGCATTTAAAAGGGATATACTCTAAGTTTGCATAGCAGTAGTTAATACGGAAAACTTAAAATTTAACCGACACCTTATGAACTGGCAGTCTTGATAAACCAGCAAAAATTACATACCTGAAATACCAGAGGTTTACTGTATTATTTACTGCATATTACTGTATCCGAGTAGTCAGTTGAGAGTGTGAGTGGGAAGATTGTCTGCTGCTCAGTTTTATTTAAAGCAAAGTTCCATTATTATTTCATTGATTCATGCTGTAAATAAAATATAACAGTGGTATGTATACTCCCTGCATTACGTCTCTATTACTTAATATGTGTTTTTACATTGATTACGTGGACCTCTTGACCATGCAGAATATTTGATCACCTGGTACAGTCCTGGTCCCACAGGTGCCAGTTAATAAAAGGTTTGCAGTGATTACATTTTGTCACTTGTAAAAGACAAAGTTTGTTCATAATAAAAATGTTCTATGATTATTGATGAAACTTGGTGAGAGTCCTTTTTCTCTCCTAGATAATAGTGAAAGTAACTATCTTGGAGATTCAGTTGGACATTAACACTTTAGGAAGTCTGGAGGCGTGCTGGGACGTGATTACCTCCATACTCCACCCATCAGAATCATAACAGTACACAGATTTGGACACAATATTCCAGTTGAGGTAAAACAGTATTTTTAAAAAGTACTAATGTCATCCCGCCCCCTTGACCTGTCCGTCCCCCCTGGACTGACCTATCTCCTCCCTAACTCCCCACCTACACTCACTTTACTGGCTCCATCCCCGCCTCTTTGACCTGTCTGTCTCCTCTCCACCTATCTTCGCCTCTATTCATCTTCTATCCACCTCCCCCTCTCTCCCTATTTATTTCAGAACCCCCTTCCCCTCCCCATTTCTGAAGAAGGGTCTAGGCCCGAAACGTCAGCTTTCCTGCTCCTCTGATGCTGCTTGGCCTGCTGTGTTCATCCAGCTCTACACCTTGTTATCTCAGATTCTCCAGCATCTGCAGTTCCTACTATCTCTTTTTAAAAAGTTCACCATCTTTACTTTTATATCTTTTACCTTGGTTTGTAAAGTCTTGGCGTATCCTGCATAATGTTCGGTGAGGCAACTATGTATCTGTACTGTCAATGTCCCCTTTTACTCAGTTTTGATGACTTCTAGAAATATTGAAACCTGACTTAACTATCAAAGCCATTCTCTTTGCCAACATATTCCTTGAAAATGTATTGATTTAAAGCCTGTCAATGTAATAATATGGCACAGCTCCTTGTAAGCACTTGATTTGGAAGCACATCTTGGAAGAATCATGACCCGAGTATTGAAAGGTTTGCAAACAAGTTGGTATTTTAAGACTGGCTCCAACTCTGCAGAGTTTTGCTATAAAAGACCATGAACCAGTAGAGACTGCCTTTCTTATGCTAATAACCTTTGTTGACAAGGCTGTGTGAGTAGGAGAAGAAGTTTTCTGACAAAACCTAACTAGCTTGTCTTCAATTTCCAACCCATCAAGGTTTGCTTCAGAGGTGATTATGGTAATTATGTTGCTTTTTTTTTGGAGATTTTAACATCTGCGCACTTGCCCCTCAAGTTACCACCTCCTCTTTGAAAATACTCATTTCATGATTTTTGGTAGTCTATCCAGCTGTCCAATCATCATGAGTCATCCCAGGCAGCGAACATCACACTTTGGGGATAATCTTGATCTACATGTTCTAAAATAAAAATTACAAAATTGGATTGGATGCCAGTTTATTACACATTGACCTCAATAAAATGTAAATAAAACTAACATTGTATCCAGCACTGTCAGATATTCAATGGATGGGTGAGGTTAAAATTGTCCCTTTGAATCTGTAAGTGGCTAGTTTCCAAGCTGTTCTGAATGATACACATTGATTATTCAGCATGCCTAATTCTATGGAAGGCCTGGTTAATTCCTTACCTTCATTCTGAGCTAAGGGAGACTGACACTTACTGTAAGCTCTGTTTTGCCTCCGACTCATACTGATGATCATGAACAGTAGAGGTAAGATCAATGATTACTCTTAAAGCTGAGTTTGATAGATTCTTGAGTGTCAAAGGTTTAGGGGTTGGGCAGGAAAGTAGACCTGAGGCCACATTAGATCAGCAATGATCTTAGCAAATGAAGAGCAGCCTAAAGTGCAGAGCTGGATGAACACAGCAGGCCAAGCAGCATCATAGGAGCAGAAAGGCTGACGTTTCGGGCCTAGACCCTTCATCAGAAAAATGAAAAAAGCAGCCTAAAGTGATTGAATGGCTTACTCATGCTTTTAATTAATCTGTTCTATGTACATATCACTTGGACAGAGCTGAGCCACCTCAGGGCTTGATCTTAGGACCTTGCTTCTCAACAGATAGTGGTGAGCCTTCTTGTGATTGACTACAACTGAGTGGCTTGCTAGACCACTGCAAATGGTAGCTAAGATGTGGATGTGGGACTGGAGACTTGTATGGGTCCAGACTAGGTTAGAAAGCGTGCTTTCTTCTCTGAAGGAACATTGATTAGGCAGTGACATATTTATGCTGATGCAGTTAGGTTTCTATACATTTTAAAAGATGAATTTGAATTCTCAAAATGTCAGGAGTTTACTGGACTATTAGCCTTGGCCAGTTTGATTGCACTCTGACCTACTGAGTTATATTTAGGTAACATGGGGTCAAGTCCCATTCCAGAGTATTAAATATAAAATCTAGGCTGGCACTCCCAGTGCAATATGGCCAGAGTGCTGCACTGCCAGAAGTGCCATCTTTTGAATTAAATGTTAAACCAAGATCCTGTCCCTCAGGTGGATGTTAAAAGAAAATCCGATGGCCACTCTTTGAAGAAGTGCAGAAGAGTTTTCCCTGTCTCCTGGCCAAAATTTACCTCTCAAGCAACACCATATAATACAAAAAATCAGGCCATGATCATATTGCTGTTATTGGGAGCTTGCAATGCAAATTGGCTGTTGCATTTCCTACGTTATGACAGTTACTATATTTAATTGGCTGGAAAGCATATTGTAACATGCTGAATTTGTGAAAGATGCTACAGATATGTACGTCTTTCCAACTTGTTCATATCAGTTTTAGAGTTTGGTTCAGATCTTTGCAATAGCATATTATCTCATGAAATAAAAATATTTAAGGGAAAAGAGTTCTCATCAGGGCACCTAGTTTGCGGCTTTCACCAAAAATTGGGCAAGATATGGAATACAATCCCTCAACTTCCTGTTAAAATCCTGGTATGTAATCATTTAGGTTGCATAGAATCCATACAGTGTGGAAACAGGCCATTTGGCCCAACACTCCACACCGATTCTCCAAACAGCATCCCAGACTTACCCCTTATCCTATCCCTGTAACCCTGCATTTCCCATGGCTACTACACCTAACCTACACATCCCTGGACACTATGGGCAATTTAGCATGGCCAATCCACCTAACCTGCACATCTTTAGACTGTGGGAGGAAACCAGATGACCTGGTGGAAACCTATGCAGACACATGGTGAATGTGCAAACTCCACACAGATGGTCACCCGAGGCTAGAATTGAACCAGGTCCCTGTGCTGTGAGGCAGCAGTGCTAACTACTGACTCACCAAGGCAGGTTGTTCATTTTTGACTCCATGTTTGAGTGTTGCCAAGTTATAAGTGATTTCATCATCTTCTATGAGTCCTCTCAATTGGCATGAACCTCTCCAGAACTGGCAGCTCTTGGTATCATTTTTGATGTTTGGGAGACCCCCTGTAACTCGGGTTTTCTTTGGTCACGTTGTGACATTATGAATCTTGCTTAGATGGTCCTTGAAACATGCTGAACCAAATTTTAGCTTGCTTCCACGTAGTTCAGTCGGCTGCACTGGTTTCTCGAGAGCAAGGATCCGCAATGCAGACATTAGTAAGGCTCCTTTTCAGGATGACCCTGGATTATTTATGTGAACCACTTTAATATTTTTGACATGAGACAGCTTTCCACATTGGATCTGTTGCAGATTCTTTACTCATCCATGCAAGAGACATCACCTGCCCAAACAAGTTGAAATTTTTTAAATTATTATTCATTTTGTGGAATGTGGGCATTGCTAGCTGGCCAGCATTTATTGCCCATCCCTAGTTGCCCTGAGAAAATGGTGGTGAGCTCCTGGAGTGTGATGTCCATGCTGTTGAGCCCAGCATAATAAAGGACCTCATTGTTTGTGATTTCTTCTCAAATTCCTTTGATTAACCATGAGTGTCTTTAGCGGAAGTATTCAATGATGACTATAGCAGACAGGATTCAACGCAGTTCAGCAAGATTGAAGAATTAAATAAACACAGAAAGCACTGGGTAAAGTCAGCAGTTGTAGCTGCATCTGTGGAGAAAGAAACAGAGTTAAAATTTCAAGTCTGATATGACTTCTGCACAACTATCCTATATTACCCCTACAACTGGATTGTGATTCTGGGAGGACATCATCTGCAAGATTTAATAGAATCTTTGTCAGAGTATTCACTGAGATATAAGGTGTTTCTCAATCACAATTGTTGCTGTAAACATTTTTGAATACTTTTTGCTTTGAGATGCTGAATAAGTGATATCCTGGAGGTTTTGTGGAACTGTGTCCCAATCCTAAACATTCTTGAAATTTGTTGACAATCTCTGTACTATTACAATTCCACATCTGTGATGAAACGTTTTTAGCCAGGTGGTTTTATTTATTTATTCATTTTGTGGGATATGGGTATTGCTGGCTGACCAGCATTTATTGCCTGTCCCTAGTTGCCCTTGAGAAGATGGTAGTGAGCTGCCTTCTTGAATCGTTGCAGTCTACCTGCTGAGGGTTGATCCACAATGCCCTTTGGGAGGATTTCCAGGATTTTGACCCAGTGATAGTGAGGGAATGGTGATATATTTACAAGTCAGGATGGTGAGTGGCTTGGGAAGGAACTTGAAGGTAGCGGTGTTCCCATGTATTTGCTGCCCTTGTCCTTCTAGACGGAAGTAGTCATGGGTTTGGAAAGGGCTGTCTGAGGGTCTTTAGTGAATTGCTGCAGTGCATCTTCTAGATAGTACTCACTGCTGCTACTGAGCATTGGAGGTAGAGGAAGCGAATGTTTGTTGTTGTAGTGCCAATCAAGTGGGCTGCTTTGTCCTGGATGGTGTCAAGCTTCTTGATTGTTGTTGGGGCTGCACTCATCCAGGCAAGTGGGGAGTATTCCATCACACTCTTGACTTGTGCCTTGTAGATGGTGGACAGGCTTTGGGGAGTCAGGAGGTGAGTTACTCACTGCAGTATTCCTAGCCTCTGACTTGCCCTTGTAACCGCTGTGTTTATGTGATGATTTAATTGCCTTTGTCGCCTCTTCAGTGGAACGAAGAAGGTTTTCTTTATTGGGTAACTGCTTAGTTTGATGCAGAGAATCTCGTGTAACATGAAAATCTTTGTTGAGAAGTTCAGCAATGTGGTCCCACCACATTTGTATTACTACTCTCATGTCAGTGATTTGTTCATTTCCATCAACTTGTGGTAAAAACAAAGGTTGTGGTGCGAGGGCCAATTGCACATTGTAAAAGCATGATCATACCTTTCAGTTAGATGTTGCAACTCATCAGATCTAATCATTCAGAATTTCTCTTAAGGCACAGAGAAGTGTGTATCAGCACTGTTATAGCCTT